CTTTTAAAATTAATATTTTTTGAAATATTTACAAAAAACGTAAAATTTATAATTTTCATTATTATAAACTCTTTTATTCTTAATTATTATATGTTGTGGATGTTTTATTATTTGTTCTTAATATGTATAAATATGTATTAATATGTATAAATATGTATAAATATGTATAAATATGTATAAATATGTATCAATATGTATAAATATATATAAATATGTAAATGTGATTTCTTTTCTCACTCATATTTATTTTATTATTTGCATTCGGAAATAATTGCTATTTTTAAAGAAGGTACAATTTTAGAACCCGATAGAAACAATTTAGGAGACTAGTTACTTAAATCGTACCTTTTACACTAGATCAAATAATCATGTAAAAAAATGTATAAAAAATTTGTTCAGGAATAATTCTGTAAAACTAGGATTAAGAGAAGTTTGAAGAGGGCGCGACTAGAGAAAGTGAGAGTGTGAGAGAGAGAGAAAGAATGAGCGTGAAAAGATATATCGAGAAGGAGGTTCGAGTAGGTTCTAGAAAAAAGGCTCTCGAAAGTGGTGATCAGTTGAGACAGAGAGAAATATTTTAGTTTTATTTGGTAGAAATAGATACTGTCTATTGAGCAGAGTTTTATTTTGGTTGTAATAGAAGGACTGATACACAGACCACAGACTGTTAAACATAGGCGTAATATTATTTTCTACGTATGGAAAATACACGTGTATAGAGAAAACCACGTGTTCGAGTTTTATTATAACCCAACAAAATTAATAATAATTCTTTACAAAAAGTTAAACATTTAATAGAAAGTGTTTTAAACATCAAGCTAAAATGTTCAATATTAACTTGCATACAAAGGATTATGTCCAGTTTCTTATTGAAGTTGGGCCCCCGATGAACGGCATTGATACATGGCTAAGATTGTAAGCATCAAAATAGAATTAAAAAGTTTCATGGGCACAATCTTGTAAAATGAATCTCCTGAGTAGTAGAGCTGTCCAGAAGTTCGCTATTATGACCATGTACGTACATATATGATCCGTACGTTTGCCGGACTTCAATTAAGCAATTAAGACCTTTTGTTTCTTACTTCGTGAATACCTCCCTATCGATTAATATATGATTCATGATTGTTCACTCGGAGCCCAAATTGGGCATAGTGTTTTGTTGCTTCTTGTTGTAAACTCTTTCTACTTTTAGGGAATTTCAATAAATAAAATTAAGATATAAGCAAACATAATTTCAGTAATAGAATGTCAAAATATATTTTTTTTTTCATTTATAAATTTAACTTTTTCAATTTTTTTATGCAATAAACATTATCGTAATAAATTGTGATGAATATTTGTACATAAGTCAAATCTAGAAGACTTCAGGCATATGATACATATTGTCAAGATTACGAGCAATAATTACGAGCATAAATAATATTCAAAAATTTTTAGCTGTCAGTCTCATTATTCATTAACAAACAAAAGTTTGCCTGAGTAATCTTCAGTGAATAAAAAAATAAAAATTGCTAAACGAGATTCATAACTACACATTCCCAATTTTTCACGCGAAAATGAGGTAGTCCTACATTGTCAAATATTTTCCAGTTCAGTTTAAAGATAAATAGTAGAAAAAAAATAATTTTTGAACAACCATACAATATGGAATGGACTTTTTCACGCGGAAAATTGGAAACGCATATGAAATTGTATAATGTTAAACTTTTCATTTCGTGTTGAAAACATCGGAAATTGGACAGACATCTATTTGCATGGATAATCGCAAACCGACGTCAAACCATATTTATAGATCTTATTTATTAGTTTATTTAAAATTCATTACAGAGAGAGAGAGAGAGAGAGAGAGAGAGAGAGAGAGAGAGAGAGAGAGACAGAGAGACAGAGAGAGAGAGAGAGAGAGAGAATATTCAAACAACAGATTTTTTATTCGTTAATAACTTTTTAATTATTGATGCTAAATAAAAATTTTTGGGGATATCACTTAGGTAAATGTCCCAGTGGCCGGACACGTCCCAATATCCGACCACATCAAAAAAAAATATTTACCATTTATTTGAATAATTATGAATGAAAATAATAATTATTGTAAAAAAAAACACTGCGTCAATAACAAAAAGTAAGTATAAAAAATATATAAAAATTAAATATTCCTCTTCTAGTTCATATATTTACAATAAACATTTTTGTTCTATTATAACGATAAGGATCTTAAGGATGAACATTCTGGAGTCCTGAATTGGATTCCATCACTATAGTGTACATATAGGACGTGTATACTTGTGTACAGTTCACTGATTGACTCACGCGACATTCGCAGCCTATTTTCTCGAAAACTATTATAGCTAAAAAAAAATTGAATCATACCTTTTTTGTAGATGATTTAATAAACTCTTATTTTGATAATAACTACTTTTTTAATTAAGTTAATATTTTACGAGATATATGCAAAAAACCGAAAAAGTTCATCTATTTTTCAAGATGGCAGCGATAGCTCATCGTCAATCTTTCAGGACTTTTTAGACGTTCATTAGTAAGCCTAAATAAACATCTCTATAAATTTTCAAAACTTTTGGAATTATTTTTTTTATTTGCTTAAAACGGGCCTTCGTTGACTGGGCTATAATTAAATAATATGAAAATTGGATATTCAATTATATTTGTGAATAAATAATTGAATATCTAATTTCAAAAATTAATTAGAAACTCTCTTTGACAAAATCCATCATAAAAATCATAATTAAAACGATATTTTTAAGCGTCCGGAGACTGGTACATTAAAAGTACCAGTAGTCCCAATCGCCCGACGCATGTGCAAATAATAATGAAAAAAGATAATAAGAAAAACAAGTAGAGTTGTGCAAATTAGAAACTTGCACATTGCTTCCTCGTAAAAAATGAACCCTTTCACCGATATTCACCAAATTCAGTATCAACCATCCTTTAATAATACTCTATTCATGTAAAAAAATTTAATCCGATATCTCAAATTTAATAAGACTGTAAAAAATTAAAGAAATTGAAGAAAAGAAAACAGATAAAGCTGAAAATGATACAAATAGAAGAAAAAATATTTTACGTGAACAAAAAAAGTCATTAAAAAAGTGTCAAATAAAAATTAAACTTTATTTAACTAATTATATTATTATGTATTATTATTCGGTCTGTTATCTGCATGTTGTTAAGGAATTTAGCTTGTAAATTAAATGCTCTATTTTATGTTTCCAGGTTATGCAACAAATTATTTTTATAATTTTTGACAAAAATAAAATATCATTAAGTATAAATACCAATTTAAATTAGAATTGTATTTTGTCATTAAATATCTATTTATATCAATATTTCTCGTCAGCATACTAATTTTCTAGTTATGGTCGGACATTGGGACAAAGTTATGTCCGGACACTCTGGGCTATAATCTATTTCAGTTGTCCGGCCGCTAGTACATTGGCGCGTTCCATTATTTATGTAAATATTTAACTAATAATTGATATGTGGCTTCAAATAATCTTTCCCTGCTTAAGGGAATCTTATGCTTTCGATTGAATGCAAATATTTATATTAAGAATCTTTCTAATATTATAAATTATATTATTTGTGACGAACTACGCTTAAACGTCCGGCCACTGGGACATTTATCTTATCTTGTTTTCGTTCATAATATCTAATAAAAGTTACCTATTATCGCATTCTTGTATTTTGATTCGATAATCTGTCACGCGTGTGAAATCAACTCATTCTAAGAGGAACTTTATATTACACTATGTTTGCGATACTCTTTTCGTTTTTTACATTTCTTTCAAATTCAATATCTTTAAAATCGGAAATGGAATACATATCGCATTTTCTTGTTTTTCTTTATTTTTGAACAAAAATTTAATTTTTAATCGCGTTGTTTTTTGAAATTATAACATCACACTGTATTGGTCTGTCGTTACATTATCGAAAGAAATATCCTCTAATGTTACGCGATTGCAATTATTAATAATTAATTAATTCTGTGCGTAACGAACGAATGCGTAATGCAATAGTCAAATTGAAAGGTTAAAAAGATACGTGTTTAGAATATATACGTGCACACACAGATAGTGTAAGGAAATTAAATGTATGAAACCGTAGTTTCAAATTACTTACTGCATAAACATAATTTGATTATACACATGCTCCCATGTTTTTTTATATTATCTCATATAATGCTTATGTTTCTTTTTTTAGTTGTAATATAATAACAGTACATAAAAATTGTATAATATTTACACAAACAAATTAAAGTAGTAATTTCCGATTACAACTTATCGCTAATAATTAAAAGATGAAATAATCTGACTTATATAGTTAAAAAGTACAGAAAAAGTAATTAATTGATAAAAATATACAAGGCACATGTAATATCTCCAGAACGCGAAAATACAGTACAAACTTTCACATTACTATTCCAATTTTGATTGCATATTACTATTTTATTATTATTTATACAATATTATTATTTACAGCCTACGTTAGAGCTGAATAATTGCAGTACATGAAAGGAGAAATTAGAACTACTTATTAACTGCTCATTTTTCCGAAATGAATAAACTGTTGAAAATTGAAAATTCAACGCTTTACGATTATATAATCGCTGTACAAGATTATACAATATTTCTTTTGCCATGATTTAAATTATCTATTATTATTAATATTATTATTAATATTATTAAAACCCATACTTACGCTTATCACTTTTACTGAAGAGGATGGTATAATAAAATTATAATTCTGCATAATTGTTTATACAATACTTATACAATAAATTATCCAATGCTTTGTATAATTTAAATAAATTACACATTGAATGCCGAATGAATTGCATATTATAATGTTATGCCATTATTCACTCCACTATTGATAAAGATATATAACTGTATGCATTGTATAAGTTTGTTTTTTGCAGCTTTAACCTGCAGCGTTTCCTGTTTATTGATACGTATAATTCCATTCACATGCTTAGCCTTACTATTTATAATTTAAAGTCTGACATTTGTACAGTAACGATATCGACTTGAAAAAGACAACAACTTTTTTAAGTTCAGTTTTGTTGTTGTTTTGTTCATAATATTGTTTGGTTTGCTTTATTTTAATAACGATGGATAAGAATACAATTAATCCAACCAAATCGATTCCGGCATTTTACATTGGACAAAGTATATTTTTGACAGGCGCGACAGGATTTTTAGGCAAAGTGTTCATCGAGAAGATACTGAGATCTTGTCCGGATATTCGAGAAATATTTATATTAATGCGTCCGAAAAAAGGACTGAGCTTTAACGAAAGACTCGAAAAAATGTTAAACTTACCGGTAAGTTAGATATAGAAATGAATATTTTTTACAGCGCTCAAATTCAGCCACTCAATATTTCTTTAAAAATTGTTATAACATATTAATATATAAAAAGAATTTCTGAATAATTTTTATTCTAATGTTATTTTAATAAAAAATTAATTTTTATGTAAGAATATCTAAACATTATGGCAAACTTTCTTATAAATACTATATAATATTTTTTTATTTTAGTTATACGATAAATTACGAAAAGAGCAACCTTCAAATTTTAAGAAATTAATTCCAGTTTCTGGTGATACCAGTCAAGAAAATTTGGGTTTGTCGGCTGTCAATAGACAAATGTTGATTGAAAGAGTCACTATAATAATTCATAACGCGGCAAGCGTGAAATTTAACGACAGCTTAAAGTACGCCATTTTTACTAATACCAGATCAACGAGAGATATATGTATCTTAGCCGAAAGTATGAAGAATATAGTAGTAAGTCAACATATATTGATTCTGCATTTGCATATTCATGATAAATTATTTTATTGTATTTTATTATGTAAATGATCTTACATAGAGTTTTATGCAATATACTAATGTTATCATTATAAAATTATTTTTAGAAATTTTTTCATAACGTACATATATCTTTCAAGGTTATGTATATTCGAGGTATTTTAAACAGATGTTTTTCTACATAAGAGCCGTACTAATTTTTTAATTATAAACATGCCTCATTTTTTTGCTATAAACTCCTTACTTATAGTATTTTGAACAAGGCACAATTTCAATATTAATTGTATTTACCTGTTAAAGGCCCTAGTATGTGTTGGCACAGCATATACACATTTGGATCATCCGTTTATAGAAGAAAAAGTGTATCCACCTATAGCCGATTGGCGGAAAATGATCAAAGTGGCCGAATCATTGGATGAGCATACTTTAAATGTTTTTACAGCTAAGTGAGTGTGAAACATAAATCTAATATGTCATACGTATGTAAATTTTAAATATGTGTTAATAAGAAAAAGGAATTATTCTTTTCTATTCATATTATACTGTTACAATAATTTTCGAGTTTTTGATTTATTAGCCATATTTATTTAAAATTATATATAGATTCTTGGATAATATTCCCAACACATATATATTCTCGAAAAACTTAGCGGAGGGTGTAATACAGGAATACTCTTCATCCTTGCCTTGTGCAATTGTGAGACCATCCGTGGGTACGTAGGTTTTGTCCTGAATATTAGAATGAGATAGAGGAACAAGACATAAATTTTTCTTTCTTTCTCTAATGCTGTTTAAACAAGTTGAAAATTTGCCCCACTTTTTATTTTATACCAAAAGTCTTAAAATATAATATTTGTATTGGTATATATTTTATTAAATATAGTATATATACAGGGTGTCCCAGATCATTGGGGACAATACTCGTGTGCAGATAGAGCAGAACAAACTGAGTCGAAAAGTCCTCTATCATATCTTTTTATAATGCTTAATAAAGGAGTTATTATTGAGTAAAATCTGGCCAATCAGCGCCGATCTTTAGCCGGGCGCACGTCGGTGAGCTGCGCGCCTGGTAGTATGCGGCAGCACACACTTCACGTCGCACGGCTCACCGATGTGCGCCCGGCTAAAGGTTGGCGCTGATTGACCAGACTTTATTCAATAATAACTCCTTTATTAAGCGTTATAAAAAAATATGATAGAGGACTTTTCAACTCAGTTTGGTCCGCTCTATCTGATATACGAGTATTGTCCCCAATGATCTGGGACACCCTGTGTATGTATACTATATGTATATAAGTATATACAATGCATACATATACATATACAGGGTATCTTACAACCTCCGTACAATATTTTAGTAGCATATTCTAGAGGTAAAATAGAGTAAAAAATTTTAATACAAAAATATCGAGGCTACAATAGTTTTTGAGTTATAAGTGATCAAAGTTTGCCAATAATATTGCGTAGAATTTGCGCCCTCAGGCTCGTAACTACATTTACACATGTATTGATCTGTCATCTGTTATTGCTGACAGATAAAATAAATAAATTTATTTCCACAAAACTTCTCCGCGCGATCAAAACAAAAATAAACTTCGTTTCTTAAATTTGTGAAAATATAATATTAAGTTTATATTTCTATTTAAATATAATAATTAATCAATCATTCAAATTATTATTTAAGAAAAAATTAAATATTTTACGTACAACATTTATCGTTCGTTAATATCAGCTGATCGCCATACATGGTATTCATACACATAAGAAACAATAAAATCAACTGTGCAATAAAAATCAATATTACCTGATTTGTAAAATCAATAACAGATGACAGATCGGTACGCGTGTATGTGTAGTTACGGATCTGAGCGCGCGAGTTCTATACTCCGTCCAAAGAAAGAATAACATCGGTCCGCGAATAGGCGGGCAAAGTGGGAAGAACATGGTGACATATTCAGTACCGTATACGTAGATCTTAGAACATATATAAATGGAAGGGGAATAGCAGGCTGAAAAGTGTCGGAAGGAAGTGAGGAAAGAATCGTATTTGCCTCTCTCTTGTGAGTAACTACACATACAAGCATCGTGTCTGTAGTATACATACTTTTGTGTACACACACATGGCCGCGCATGCGCACTTTTGAGCAGAGTAACTCATAAGAGAGAGGCAACTATGATTTTCTTTCTTACTTCCTTCCGACATGTTTTTCTATCGGGAAACAAAGGCATTCCCCTTCCATTTATATATGTTCTAAGACGTAGATACGGTTTCTGTGGATGGAGACCTGCGCGAAACGGACGAGTTTTCGTCCGACCCGATGTTATTCTCTCTTTGGACGGAGTACACGCGATATCATTGGCAAACTTTGATCGCTTATAACTCAAAAACTCTTGCAGCCTTAAAATTTTTATATTAGAATTTTTGACTTTATTTTATCTCTAGAATACACTATTAAAGTATTGTACGGAGGTTGTAAGACATCCTGTATATGCATAAACACATATACACGCACACAGACATGAATGAAATAAACAAATAGAAAAAGCGCGGAAAAAATATATGCATCCAGATTTTAAATTTTACAAATACTTAATATCACATTTATGTTAACGCCAGGATTGGGAAGTAACGCATTACTTGTAACTCCGTTACTGTTACAATTACTTTTTTTCGGTAACTGTAACGGTAACGGCGCTACAAATTTTGTTTGTAACGGAAAAAGTAACTTCGTTACATTTTTCGGTAACGAGTAACGAATTTAACAGTTACTTTTACCATTACTTTTTTCGAATTTACTCGGTATAATTTTCATACAAAGGAACGTAATGATACGAGTATTCCAATACTCGTTGGAATACAGTATTACATGAAAGCTCTTTTTAGTATCTTTGTTTCTTTCTACTTTGTAAGGCGAGTAGCACATATAAAATAATGTTCAAAAATTTTTAGTGTGAATTTTTAGTGTTTAATTTGATCCTGTATTAAACAAAATTGTATGTAAAGTATTGTATGTATTACTATAGTTGTATTGTATATAAAAAAAATAACGGAAATTGTAATGACTCGTTACTTTTTGAATAACGGTAACGGTAATGAGTTACTTTATAAAATTGATAACAAGTAACGATAACGAGTTACTTTTTAGAAAAAAGAACGGTAACGATAACGAGTTGCTTTTATAAAGTAACTTTTCCAACCCTAGTTAACGCTTCTCTCTTTTTGCTGCATTTGTATATATAATAGTTAATTATATAAATATTATTTAAACGTAAAACAACTTATTTAATTATTATAACATTACTTGAAAAATAGTTTATTTGGTTATTATAGATATAACAATAGATTTACATATTTAGATTTGCTTATCTAATAAAAAACTAAATTAAAGCAAAAATTGATGTTAAATTTTAAGGTTTATAATTCCTCTGCTTTTTCCATTTTCATTAGTAATGTACAAGAGGAAAGATAGTTAGTAATGTACAAGAAGATCTCTTACATTAGAATAATCTAATATAATAATAGTTCAAAAATATATATTACGTTTGTTAGTGACATGGTCGCTGAGGGATCCAATCCCAGGATGGATAGATAATTTTAATGGTCCAATGGGACTGATAACTGCTGGCGGAAAAGGAATATTGCGAGTAGCATATGCCAATAATTATACACAGCAAAACGACATACCAGTAGATACTGTCATCAACACTATAATCCTCGTAATTTGGAAGCTTGGATTGACAACGTATGATCATCAATTTATATATTAATAGATTGCATCTCTAGCTGCATTAAGATACAAATGGGAATTATTTTAATTTGAAACTGAATTTACGTTATGCTATCATTATTCAATTAGTTCTATTTTTTTTCCATTAAAGTTTAGAGAGTTAAAAAGTCACATATTTATTCTTGATTGAATTTATATATAATTTTCTTTCGGATAACATTGAACTGTAAAGTGTTTGATATAATTAAACATTTTTTTTATACATCAACATTCTTAATGCTTAATTCGTTATAATATGTTAAAATAAATTTTTTACCAGTTTGTAATAATATATCTTATGACATTCTCGCAATTTGATATTTGTCTAACAATAAGATATTTCTGAAACTTAATGCAATTTTCATAAAATCTTATAAATCTATACTTTTATAAAATCTTATTAATCTATACTGCGTTAATTAATTTACAATATTATCTACTGTTAGTTTCACACCAAAATCCACATGTTTTGTCGTAAACTGTACTTTCCCTGATGAAAAATGTATATCATTTCGAGATTTCTGCAACATAGCAACTAACATCTCGAAAAAGATACCATTCGAAGGTGTTTTGTGGATGCCTAGTACATTATTTACCGAAAGTTTAAATACGCATTATGTATTGACAATATTGTGGCATATTATACCAGCTATAATAATAGATTCAGTTTTAAAATGTTCGGGACGTCAACCTATGTAAGTACTAAACAAATTAAATTTTTGCACATTTCTTTACACTTGCGGTGGTTTTGCATTCAATCACCTCCAAATTCAATAATAACTAAAGCTGTACTATTGAGAATATAAATCGTCTAATGTAAATATATAATATGCAATAAAGGATATTAAGACTGCAGAGGAAAATGTATGTTGCCAACCGTGTTCTGCGACATTTTTCGTGCAACGAATGGAAATTTGATAACACACATAGTCAAGATCTAATGTCACTAATTCCATCTGGTAATCGAGAAATGTTCTCGATCGATCTTTCTGATGTAGATATAAAAGAGTATATTAGGTAGCTATATATATGAATATATAGCTTGACTTTCAATAAAGGAAAGAACCTAAAATCGATCCAAGCATATTGTTTTTGGGCTTTCATATCTAATGAAAGCACAAAAATATAGTTAAAAATACTCATATTCATAGATAATGAAGATACAGCTTTTAATTGCTGAAAGATAATGGTATACTGATTTACAATATTAGTCGGTTTTAATGTCTTTCCTCTAATGTTTACAATAAAAATAATTTTAGGGTGTAGTTCCGAAAAGTACTCACCCCCGATTTTTTTGAAACTCAGTATTCTTACGTATATTTTGATGCGCTGATTACGAATATCATAGTGAAAATTGGCGACTATTTGATTTTCATGGTAAAAACTATGAAAAACCCATAAAAATTATAGTTTTTTACGCTTATCTCAGTAAATACGGAAAATCATGATAAATGTTTTAGACAAAAGTTTTAGATCTCACAGAGATAAATATTTTATATCCTATTCATTTTTACCGTACGAGTGATAGTTTTCGACAAAAACGATGAACTCTAAATCTTATACCTGTCCTCCCATCTAAGCATGTACTTTGCAGTACATATACGATTCCACATGGGTTTGCAACTTTCCACGCAAAGCGAGATTCCACGCAAACCTATTTGTCTAGTTCTTTGGTAGTGGAGCCCCCCGCAGGGGGGCGATAATTTTTATGGGTTTTTCATGATTTTCACCATGAAAATCAAATAGTCGCCAATTTTCACTATGATATTCGTAATTAGCGCATCAAAATAGATAAGAATACTGAGTTTCAAAAAAATCGGGGGTGAGTACTTTTCGGAACTTTATCCTAATTTTAAACTATTTAATATTTATTTTATTGTTTGAAGGATTGGAGCAATAGGTATCAAAAAATATCTTCTCCGCGAAGACATGAATCGATTAGATGCAGCCAAAGCACATTGTAAAAGGTAAGCATAAAATATAAACGGAACATTGTTATTGTTTATATGTTAAATGTATTAATTGTTCACTTGTAAGATGTATTAATTTATTAAATGTAATAAATGTGTCTATTTTAGAATGAATCTATTCGTCGCAACATTTAAAACTATCATTGCTATTGGTATTCTATGGATGATATATAAGTGGATATGCTTTTAAAGCATATCATATAGTGATATTGTTGGCGCAGATTATTCTTTAAGTAAAACAAAATTATAATTCTTGGTTATTTGGTACGTTTATTATTTCATTTAAAGCTTTGCGCTCACTGATTGCTAATGTATTTCTTTCTTTTACGGTCGAGGCTGCCTGTACTCTACCCATGTAATTTCTCTTCCGTTCCAGACGCCAAATGAAATAAACCGCTTGTGTTATAATTCTACTTATTATTATATCCCAGCAAATATTATATAATATTCATTAAATATTCATTATTTGTGCAGTATCCGATAAATTTTAACATTAATACGTACAATTGAAGTGCTGATTGAACTGAATAGAATCTACTTCAAAAAATGTGTTATTATTGACTGCATATTTTATGTTGAAAAAGTACAAATTAAGCGCGCACGCAATAAATTTTTAATTAATAATTGTTTCTATTTAAATCGATCCCCCGCTTATATCGTCCATTTACATCGAATTATTTTTGATATTTTGCCAAAAACATTTGATACATATTTCCTTCGATATGTACAATGCATCGAAAATCTTTGAATAAAAACAATGTCATCAAATGCATTATTGTCTTTTCGCATAGATATAAATTATTTATCACCATATTATGCACAATATATTCCATGTAGGTATATTATTACATACAGACAATGTAATATATTACAAACTACACTGGTCAAAAAAATTATGGCATAAAAAATATTTGCCGAAAATTGGCCAATTTTGACTGCCGATCACTTCGAATTATCGTAGACGAATGATTTTTTTTTCAAAATGAAGTTTGAAGTCTCTACTTTAAGAATGTACCTCCATTTTTTGCATGCGATGCACCCCTACCTCTGTAACCCTTGAAATCTGAGGGCATGTTTGGCATACTGAAAATTGCAAAGTTTAACGGAATGCACGGACGTGAAAACATTTTTTTCATGGGCATCGCTTGCATCGTCATAAAGTTTAAATCTTCCACTTTAATTTGAAAAAAAAGCGAAGTCGCTACGATTTTTTTTCGCGAAGTTACAGCCCTTCAAAGTTGTTTTTGGCCTTTGGGCCAAGTACCGGCCGGCGGGTTTAATGACTGATCAAAACACGAGCCAGGAGCTGAAAAACGTGCACGCGCGCACGCGTGTGTGTCCACAAACACTTTTGCCATGGCTCCATTATGGCTTCCAGTCATTAAACCCGCCGGCCGGTACTTGACCCAAAAGTCAACGGTAATTTTGAAGGGCTGTAACTTTGCGAAAAAAAATCGTAGCGACTTCGCTTTTTTTCAAATTAAAGTGGAAGATTTGAACTTTATGACGATGTAAACGGCGTCCACGAAAAAAATTTTTTCACGTCCGTGCATTCCGTCAAACTTTGCAATTTTCAGTATGCCAAACATGCCCTCAGATTTCAGCGGTTATAGGGGTAGGGGTGCATCGCATGCAAAAAATGGAGGTACATTCTTAAAGTAGAGATGTCAAGCTTCATTTTGAAAAAAAATCATTCGTCTACGATAATTTTTCGCGAAGTGATCGGCAGTCAAAGTTGATCAATTTTCGGCAAATATTTTCTATGCCATAATTTTTTTGAGCAGTGTATTATTAAGTATTATGCGACATACAGATATGCAATGAGAATAAAGCAACGTCTATACATATAACGCTGTGTTTAAAATTTTTTATCCTTGCTTCAAATCAAACCACATAATCACACGCGAAAAAAATTACTTCTGCAAATTTGTCGTTTTTTAATATGAATTCTTTCTTCTTTTAGTGAATTTTATTAAATAAAATTAAGATACAAGCAAACACAATTTCAGTAATAGCATGTCAGAATATTTCTTTTTTCTATTTATAAATTTAACTTTTTCTATTTTTCTATGCAATAAATATTATCGTAATAAATTATGGTGAATATTTGCACATAAGTCAAATTTAGAAGACTTCAGGCATATGATACATGTCATCAAGGTTACGACCCTGAATAATCTTCAAAAATTTTTAGCTGTCAGTCTCATTATTCATTAACAAACAAAAGTTTGCCTGAGTAATCTTCAGTGAATAAAAAAATAAAAATTGCTAAACGAGATTCATAACTACACATTCCCAATTTTTCACGCGAAAATGAGGTAGTCCTACATTGTCAAATATTTTCCAGTTCAGTTTAAAGTTAAATAGTAGAAAAAAAAAAATTTTTGAACAACCATATAATATGGAATAGACTTTCTCACGCGGAAAGTTGGAAACGCATATGAAATTGTATAACGTTAAACTTTTCATTTCGTGTTGAAAACATCGGATGTTGGACAGACATATATTTGCATGGATAATCGCAAACCGACGTCAAACCATATATTTATAGATCTCATCTATTATTTTGTTTAAAATTCATTACAGAGAGAGAAAGAATATTCAAACAGATTTTTTATTCGTTAATAACTTTTTAATTATTGATGCTAAATAAAAATTTTTTGGGATGTCACTTATCTTGTTTTCGTTCATAATATCTAATAAAAGTGATCCATAATTGCATTCTTGTATTTTGATTTGATAATCTGTCACGCGTGCGAAATTAACTCGTTCTGAGAGAAACTTTATGTTATACTATGTTTGCGATATTCTTTTCGTTTTTTACATTTCTTTCAAATTCAATATATCTTTAAAATCGGAAATGGAATATGTATCGCATTTTTTTCTTTATTTTTGAACAAAAATTTAATTTTTAGTTGTTTTTTGAAACTATAACATCGCACTGTATTGGTTTGTTGTTATATTATCAAAAGAAATATCCTCTAATGTTACGCGATTGCAATTATTAATAATTAATTAATTCTGTGCGTAACGAACGAATGCGTAATGCAATAAGCTCAAGTTGAAAGGTTAAAAAGATACGTGTTAGAATATATAGATGCACACACAGATAGAGTAAGGGAATTAAATGTATGAAGCCCTAGTTTCAAATTACTTACTGCATAAACGTAATTTATTTATACACATGCTCTCGCGTTTTTTAACATATATTATCTCATATAATGCTTATATATATTTTTTTAGTTGTAATATAATTGTTACGTCCAGACTCGGGGAAGAATGAGTCGACGAAAAGGCGCAACAACTATCTTTTATTATCCCGAAGTCAAACGCCTCGTGGCGTTTGGAATCGGGTCGAACGAACTGACAGGTCCGAAAAACAAGTAAACGACTGAGTCGCTATTAAACTGTTTTCGGAAATTCGCTCGGCGGTCCCTTTTCGGCCAGAGAATTTAATCTCTTTTACGCGGGATGGGACCAAATGCGATCTTTCTACTAGGACTGAGTGGGGGTTAATAATGATTTATTTTGATTTTTAATTAACAAATATAAATTTATTCATTTTAAAATTAATGATAGGTATACATGATAATATAAAAAAAATAAAAATATAATATTCGTTTTCTTCTGAGTATGTGTGAATGTGTGTGTGTGTGTTAGTTCGCGGGTGTTACATTAATACGGAGGACATCAGTCAGAATGCAAGGGAAAGATTCTATTGTTAATATTTAGGTTCTGACTGGTTGATACAATATGAAGATTTAATTAATAAAAAAAAAAAAACCTGTGTGCGTGTGTGAGTGAGAAAGGAAATATGGAATCATGGAGAAAGAGAATGAAGGGGGATATATCGGTTTAATTTAATCCTGATAGGATGAAGCGGGTTCTAAGTCGGATAGTTCATTGCAGAACTCCTCTATAGCCTTTTCGAAATCGTTTGATTCCAAAAACTGCGGGGAAGAAGGGAGTGAATTATTCAAGAGGACTGTAGATAATGACGAGAATGATCTCGGGGAGGAAGGCGGTTCAGGAGAAGAGTTCGGGGGAATATATTGGGGAGTAGCTTGGAGAAAAATGGGGAGGCAAACTTGGAGTAATTAAGTCTTTAGAATGTGTGTAAGTGTGTGTAGACTTGCAATTGTGATCGTTAATGTTATTAATTATTCTAACGATTCTATTTGCTTTGGCTAAATTATAATTGATCTTAGCGATATATTGATTAGCTATCTTAATTGTTTGTGGATCAGCTCGAGCCAATGCTCTCCGAGTCCTGCGATAAACTCTGTGTATGTGCTTAGTTCGCGAATGAAGTCGCTTGATCGAAACACGCAAGGTGATCCTTTTCACTATAGAAAATGATAAGGTAATAATTTCTAATTGAAATTCGCGTGAAGAAAAATTGGTTGGTAGCGACTTAGTTTTAATCGGTGTTTTCTAGTGGGAAATATGAGGTTGGCGACTTTAGGCGCTGCTTCGGCTGGTTGGTTGTGGTTGATGATAGTTGAAAGATCCCGCTGATGGAAAACACTGATTTTCACAACTAACTCGCGAGTCACGAACCACAACGAGAGTACTCGGATTGGAAGTTGCAGAATAATAAATGCACTCGGATGGAGGATTGCAGAAATAAGAGAAATGATGTGTTCGCGAGTTCTCTTTTTATAATTTTCTTTTTGAGCGTATTCTAATTTTAAGAGTGGAAATCTTCCAAAACTTTGACGAATCAAATTTGCGCAGAAGTGGGTATTTTCCAATCTTAGCAAATTAAAAATGTGCCAGTGTCTTCGTTAGGCGGGATGTTTCTCCTACTTTTCACGTTTTACCCGTGGTGATCGTCCATTGGTGAGTTCGATATTCGTTCGAAGATTCCTTGCACGTGTTCAGATTAGAAAAAAGTTCTATTTTCCTATGATAATTTTTATTGCTATTGGTGCAGCTGTGTTTATTGAATATTTGTTGAAAAATTTTTATTATTATAGATGCAGCTGTTTGTTGAGTATTTTGTTAGACATTTTTATATTGTTATTGATGCAGCTGTGTTTGTTGGGTATTTTGTTAGAAAATTTTATATTATTTTGAGGGAACCGGCATGGTTTCATCTTTTACGTTGGTCTGTTTACTGAGCGATTCGTTTGTCTCACCAGCAGCTGGAGGTTTTATTGCCCCGTGAAAGAGATAGAATATTCTTTTCTTTCTTCTTCCCATTTTTTCCTCTGGTTATCATTGTCATTAGACAAATGTTGGGGAAAAACCCAACATTTGCAAAAAAAAGGAAATGGATTCCTTTCTTTCGCGGATAACTAAAGTATCGTAAGTTGCATGTGGTTTTGTGCATCTTGATTTTGCTTATTAAGAAGGAGGAAAGAGAAGGCGACCACCAAAACCCCCTTGTTTTTTTTTATTAGCTGTTGGTTGAAATACCGTATTTGTCTGCAGAATAATAAGCTTCATTTGCTCAAAATTGGATAGTTTATCACTAAATGTAGCATAGTGATCGCTTATTGGCTGCTGGAGTCGATAATATAATTCTTCTGTGATATATTTTCTAGCTCATTGTTCCTTCCTTTTTTTCAGATGATCGGGTAATATTTCTTTATATATATAATTTTTTTTTTATATCAGAAAAGATAGTTCTGCTTTTGTTATATATGTTATATATGTTGTTATATATGAATGTAACAAGCCGCTTTCGCGAGGCGGGCGACGGATAACTCGGTCGGGATCCTGGGTTCGTGAAAGTGGTATTGAGACACGAATGCGATTTGATGTTTGGTAGAAATGTACTTTATTGCATGTAAATGTGTGTTGGTACAGCGTGAGTGTATGTATAGGTGTACGAGGTGCGTGTGTGTATGTGCGAGCGAGACGAGTGGTAGTGACGAGTGCGTATAATATAGATGTGCGAGTACGTATAATGTATGTGTGCGAGCACGTATAAATTATAGGTGCGAGTACGTATGATGTATGTGAGCGAGTGTACAATGTATACTGTCGGTGTGCGAGTATGCAATGCCGGAGGGTGCATGCAATGCACCGCGATTGCGCGCAGCGCGATTCGCGAGTTCGGCGATGCGTACGAGTATCGATTCTTGATCGCGCGGCGTAAATCCGGCAGGAGCCGTTAGCGGTCGGGTGGTCCTTTGCGGCCGCGTCGGTGGGCGGTGGGCGGTCCTTCGACGCGGGTATCGATTTTGGATGTCGATCGGTGTCGCGGTAGGGTGCAGGTCGGCCCTCGGCGCGGGACTTATCGTGCCCGTAATAATGGCGCGTGGGCGCGTTAATGGCGGTGGCTAACGGTCTGTCCGGATGTGTAATTGTCGACTTGTAATTCGCGTATCTGGATCGCGGGTGGCGGAAATTAACATAAGAAATAACGTATATAATAATTATTTATTCGGCGGGCGGTTCTTCGATGCCCATGGTACACCTTCGGCGCGTACTTCGAATATCGATCTCGCGATCCACAAAAATTCCCTGTATTTCAAAATAAACCGAGTTGGGCGCCAAGTACAGCAGGCCGCACCATTCACGATAAACGCAACACCGAAAGACAATTGCGAGACCGATAATTAGCGCGACGGCAAAATTCCGCGGCTACTCAGTATACTCGAAATGGTAAAGGAGGAGGTTTGGGGGAGACGGGAGAAATCGTGAGAGTCGAGAACACGGTAACAATAACGAGTATTCGATAGTTAAAATAGAGATAACAATAATATATTAAAAAGAAACAAGAGTATAGAGCAGTTCGCCTAAATAATAGTCTTTGATGACAGTAGTTATTTTACAGGCAAATAAGATATATTATTTCCGCGGAGCTCGACATGACTGTGCGCAACAGTATCGAATTACCAGGCCTCTTACGTACTTTACTCTCGACTTTTCGGCCGCGGGGATTTCCGCCGTACGTGACTCATTCCGGCCGCGACAACTAAAGAAATCTCTCGAATGCGCCGGTAACTACTTTACGCACGCCCGGGAATCCGCTTCAATGCAACATAAATTTCCCGGTGATACGACTCGAATCGGTCTTTTAACACAGCTCGTGGTGCTGGAATGTGCCTCGATAATAATAACGACGACCTTTGCTTGAAATACGCCACATATATTACTCGGATGACTCGCGAAAATTAATAACGGGATCACAAACACCCGACAGAAACTCTGCCCGATATCGGAGAATTATGCTTTCTCCTCACTCTAATTACGCATAGCGTGTACAAGATAAATGCTAACAATACCCAGAAATAATACGGGAACTATCGATAACGACTGTGGTGTACGAGTCGTGCTACGCAATATTTTGCGCGATCCGGAATATCGATCGCGCGAGCGTGAAAATCCCGATACTTTACAACATGTAATAATTACAGACGCGAAAATAACATTAATGACCTGCGTCCTTCCTTAAAGCTCGCCGAACAGTGCCGAGCGAGAGTCCTGCAGGAGACACGCCGGCGCGATAAATTCCTGGGTATCCTGGACTCCCGCTCTCGGCTGTCGCTCTTCTCTCTTCCTCTTCTTCCGCCGGATGGGATCTCGCCGCTCGACCTCGTGCCGACAACCAACTCGCGGGCTCATCTCGAGCTTACATTTTCGATAACTATTACCAACAAAAGTCAGATCCCGTCGATCTGACGATTGGGCCGCTCTCTCCCTAAATTGGGAGGACGCAGGCCCCCGAAAAACCGCCCCCGATCGGTCCATTCGGCCCTTGTGACGGACATCTCAAAAACGTCACGTCACAACTCCCCCTTCCCAGGAGAGGATCGAGGAGGTCTTGGCTGGCGACGAGCGTCGACAGCCACCAACTTCTTGTTAATCAGCCGATTGAGTTTTTAACCTTATGCAACCCAGTTTGCTGTGCTTCTCTCTCTCTATTAATACCGCTACCCCCATTTCAGAGAAACGCCACTCGTCTGCGACCGCCCGAAAACAGGTAGCAGTAAAGTCACGACAGAAAGAAAAAGTTTCGTCTCCTAATGACCCCGAGACGGAGGAACAAAGGTT